ATACAGGGTGTTCATAAAGTATTGGACCGTCCCTCTATCTCAGAAAATAGAAGGGAAATTTCCTAAAAGTTTTGTATTTAAAGTTTTTTTATCGCAGTTAGTATTTTCTGAGATAGAGGGGAGGGGGTCCGATACTTTATGAACACCCTGTATATATGTTCTTATATGAAAAATTTTTTCCTGAATGATTAACTGCATCGATTGATGTCATTAAATTATAATGTCATAGATATAGTGTCATTAAATTAATATATATATTATTGGTATAACCAAGAGTCGCTTCTTTATCAAAGTGGAAATATGTAATAACAAGTCGCAGAACCACAATAATCGTGATGCGAATCAGAATTCTCATTTCGCGGTCGCTTCGCTGCACATTCGATTTAATTGTTCAATATATGCGAGAAACGATTAAAACATCGTAAAACCGCCAAGCTGAAATACCGAATTCATGGAAACACACGCACACAGGCGTGCGCGTCTGCTTGATTTTCCATAAGGTCGCTGAATCGGCCGAGAATGGAATTGCATCACGTAACCACTCCCTTGATATTGCACCGCACACCCACGGATTCGATTAATTTTTTACGATCGTCCAATCAGTGGGACGGATGAAACCGCTTGAATTAACCGTTCTATTAGAAGCTTTTTGGTCCAGACCGATCGTGGAACGTGATAACGTCTTATGATAAGTCATTCTATCGAAACTATCTGCTTATTACACGATTAAAATACTTCATTCCTGAGATATGCCCGCGTAACGTAAAATTAAATTAAAATGAAAAATAATTTATTCAATAATAATTAATAATATTATTACTACTATTGCAGAATTTTCCACAAAATTGATCGGTATGACAATAATTGAAAGTTCCAATCTCCATTAAACTTGACAGAAAAATACTATTGTCTAGAGATAATATAACAGAAATTCGTCAAGAGAATTACGTGATACTTCTCTGATTGACTGGAGTCTCAAACAGCACAGAATGTTTTATGGATATCCATTTTATGTTCATATCTTGTCGTCCATATATGTCCATATGCTATCCTCATTTGTACATATAACGTTATCTACATATTCGTGTTAACAAAATATTTACTGAAAATACTTAATAAATAAATAGATGTATTGAACAGAAATTTACATTTACTGAATATAGTTATTTAAATTATATTAATTAATATTACAATAACCATTTCATGATGAAATCTTATTAAATTTTCCTTCTATATATAGAAGCATTCGATGCACTACTTTTGCCAATTTCAATACGGACATGGTACCGAAAATCCATTGACAGCATACCGTTTCGGTACCGACATTCGACGCACTACTTTTGCCAATTTCAATACGGATACGGATTTATATACCGGAAATCTATATCGGCAGTATACTGTTTCAGTATTATTTTACAATACTGATCCATATATCGGGTCAGTACCATAACATTGTTATTTTAATACTGATTCTGTACAGAACCAGTACTGAAATATGAAACTTATTTTTCGGTACAAGATCGGTACTTCGTCAATATCCAATACTGGCCTACTGTATGAAATTAGCACATGGATAACTAAGAAATATAAAATAATTATTGTTTGGATGGTTTTCTTATAAAAATGTTGTAAACATCGTAAAAAAATTTTGGCATACATTTAATTGAGACGCTGATCACTTTTTGATCCAATACAGTTTATTGTACATTATGTTATACTTAAATAATTTGTATTTTATTGTCGTTATTTTGATTATCGATCATGTTATTGTATGTTAACGTTTATTAACAAATTTATTTGTATCTTTTCCATTACTTATTGATCTGATCTATCACGGATATATGTATTCATTGACATCGAGTATAGTTATATGGATCATCATGAAGTGTCTGCAGTTCCCGATCACAGAAGTTATAAGGTGCCTTTTCATGCTGACGCTCAACGCTAATTTTTGGCGTCAAAATTACGTGATTAGAGTTGGCTTGCACGAAAAGCGGCAACTTTAACGTCAATCGTATTATTCGTATCTAAAATGTTCAGAACAAAACAGTAACAACCTAGCTTTGACGCTAAAACTGAGAAAATCCAGTTTCTTTTTTTGACGGTAGCGTCAAAGTCGAAGTCACGTGATTACCAAAAATCCAAAATGTTGATTTCTTTACTGCTTACATCTTACTGGTTAAGTTCTTCTATGTGCCATGGCTCTAACGCTAAAATGAGCGTCTCATGAATTTGCACCTTTAATAGCGTTTTCGGACGGAGCGAATTTGATCACTCTGAGAGCGATTAACGACGTCATATGCTCTATTTTAGATTTCTGATTGGGCGAGGTGAGCATGAGTGACGTTATTAATCGCTCTCGGAGCGATCAGACCCGCTCCGTCCGAAAACGCTATAAATTAATTATTCTGATTTTATAAACGTTTATTTAATTGTTATTTTTTATATTCTGTGGACACGTTAGGGATTCTTATAGTATGTCTACCAATTTTATAAACAGATCATATCCCATGTATACATCCACAGAAAGGACGCAAAATGGATGTTATATGGATATATCCTCAATATCCTTAAAGAACACGTTATGAATGTCCATAGAATATCCGTGTGCTGTCTGGGAAGTTACCTTTTTAAATTATTTTTGTAAAGATATTCATATTATATTACAAATCAGGCATTTGTAATTATCTAGTCTTTTGATAATAACGAAGAAGAATACAAGGCCAGCAATATAACATGATCAGTACAGCGAATCATTTTACCTGCGACTGATGGATCTAAATAAATTATAGCTAATTAAGGCAAGAAAGATTTTTTAAATTGTATAATATATATCTGCAGTAAATAAATTCAATTAGATGTAATTCAATAATACCTATATGCAGTACAAGAAAATCTTGCACAACTTTATGCAACAATAAAATTGATGATTTGTAATAAAAAAACATTTGTTCAATTGTTTAATTTGTAATCCGCAAACTAGAATATCAGGATTAGTTAAATGCGAGGAATAATCTCTGCTTTATCGGTCACAACAAATTGCAATGGCAGCTGTATAATCAATAAAAATACATAATATTTCTAACAAACATTGCAGAGTTTTAAAATTATTTTAATATAATATCCAGTATTATGTGTGTTAATACATCACATATATAATTTTTAATATTTATATACAGGGTGTCAAATTTTATATTTGACAATCAAATATTTGGAAATCGCGAGGTTTGAGAGAAAAATATGTTTCAGACAAAAATTTTGGGACTTCGAGAGGGACATAAGATGATAACATTGGTTTGACCCTGAGTGGCGTCATCAAGATCATTTTGAATTTTTTAAATGGAACCCCTATTTTTCATTGCATATTCTTGTAACTTATTTCGAGAGCTTTCCAAAACACAAAAATAAAATGTATTTTGGTTAAGTAAATCTTGAGTTATGAAGCTTAAAAGTTACAGTACCGAAAATAATTCAAAAATGAAAATAAGAGAAATAATTTCCAATATGATCATGGCCTTGACACATGTTGTCAAGATCATGATCCTGAACAACATTCAAAAGGTTTCAGCCATTGTTCG